TATATATATAGATAGATAGATAGATAGATAGATAGATAGATAGATAGATAGATAGATAGATAGATAGATAGATATATGTGTGTGTGTGTATGTGTGTGTGTGTGTGTGTGTGTGTGTTTGTGTGTGTGTGTGTGTGTGTGTGTGTGTGTGTGTGTGTGTGTGTGTGTGTGTGTGTGTGTGTGTGTGTGTGTGTGTGTGTATATATATATATATATATATATATATATATATTGAACTCCGGACCATGAGGGTCTGAATACAGTTCTCTAACCACTGGACCATCGCGGCATATATATATATATATATATATATATATATATATATATATATATATATATATATATATATATATATATATATATATATATATATGCATATATATATATACATATATACATACATGGATACAGATATATGTGTGTGTGTGTGCAAGCTAAATCACCGTAAATGGAAACTCACAGTGTGCTATCTAGGCTGGGAAACGCCAGGCGTAGCACCGAAAAGAAAAATGGGACAAAAGAGCATAAACAATCGATGCAAAGGAGATAGAAAACGGAAACTGAAAGCGTCGTTCACAAAAAAAATATATATTTTACGGATCGGAACACATCTGAACGTGAAAGGAGAGAAGGTCGAGGGTCAAAGGTAGCTCTCGGGCGCAGGAGGTCTTCTAACCCTCAGCATCCTGTCACGCAAATGATCCCGCAAGGAAATCGATGGGCAAACGGGACGATTCTCCCGACGCTGTTTTCGCGGACTCAGGCCTCGAAATCCACACCTCGCGGCTCTTGCTCCGTTACTTCCGCCCTTATGCGTGGCAGAAGCGAGAGGCGGAGGCGCTGATGAAGGCTAGCTGCCAAAATGGGGCGACCCGGCCCTTCGTGACGCGGTCGGGTAGGCCTAAGGCTTTAATAGATGACGCAGTTGTTCGTCTTATTGTGCCGTGATGGGATGATACGAATATGGCTAGAATTACAGCGGTGTTTTGTGCGTGTTTGGGAGATTGTTGTCGCGTGTTATTTACGTGTTATTTACGTGTATTAGTTAAGGACTCAGCCTGTCGTCCTGGTTTCTTCGAACTCCATATCAAAACCGTGCATACGTGGCTCCTTAAAATCACGTTTACAGACATACGCTAAAACCTCCAATTCTTTCTATGATATTTACTTAACATTTAGATGCATCTTAAAGGTTGAAAGTGTAAAGCATTCTTGTATCACGCATCCCTTAAGAATTTAATAATAAAGCGCCTTAAAATTATATGTATTTATCTCGATATACTGTGCGAACGTTTTAAAAGTATTGTTCTCCGTATATTGTTTTTAAAAGCGTCTTAAAAAAGAAAAAGAAAAACATATTTACCTCGACGTATTGTTAGCGGCGACGGGAGCGAGAGAGGGTCGTGCCCGTCCTCTGCAGCATCTTTCGCCAACATCCCAGGAGATGTACGCAGCATTTTCTTCGGAGAATCTCCTCCATCATCTTTAGTTCTCCGCGAGTGCTCTCAGCGAAAGGCCACGGGCTGCAGGTCCTCCAATATGTCAGAAATGGTGCACCAAGGAAAGTCTATAGACAACGTTTACTCTCGGCTCGGATACTCTACTTGCGAATTTTCCTCGGCTTTAGTCTTTTCTGTTTTGCTTTGTCTTGTCTTGTTCGTATATTCATTTGTTTGATTATATATTTCTCCATTTCTCCGTCCTGTGATATGGGTTCAGATACTCTACTCACGATTTTAATTCTTCTACTTCATTTTCTTTTGTTTTGTTTTGTTTTCTGCGGAAGTTTATCGTATATTCATTTATCTGTTCACATCTAATGTTCCTTTCCTATCCTCTGTATACGAGGTCATTTCCCGCCCATAACCCCAATAAGCACAAACGCACTACATAAATCCTCCAACTCTCTCCTATAGATAAGTTCACTCTACTTTACCTCTTTCATGTTTTTAAAGCCTCTCTCTTTTACAACCTCCTGCCAACCCTCCCCTCATCCCCTCCCTCCCTCCCTCCCTCCCCCTCCCTCCCTCATCCGGCCCCCCTCCCTCACCCTACCCCGACCCTCCCTCAACCTGCCCCCCCCCCCTCCATCCCCGGGGCCATAACTCTAACCAACCCCGAGCGACGTGGCCACAAGCTCTTTGGGAGAGACAGGACGGGGTTCAGGAGGGAAAAAAAAGATATAGGAGGAAGGCGGCCGGACAGGGGGGTGAGAAGAGGGGTCTGGAAAGGGGGGGGAAGAGAAGGGGAGTTGGGAAAGAAGGTGGGGTATGGGGTAAGGGTAAGGGAATTGGGAAGAGGGCAATAAAAGAGGGCTGCGAAGAGGAATGGGAAAATGGGCTGAGGAAGAGGACGTGGAGGGCAGAAAATACTAAAGGGGAAGATAATGGGGAAGGATGGAAGCGATCGATCGGGAAATAAAAAGAAAAAAAAGGAATGATGAGGTGATACACGAGGTCCATGGAGAAGAAGAAGAAGAAGGAGGAGGAGAAGAGAGAGAGAGAGAGAGAGAGAGAGAGAGAGAGAGAGAGAGAGAGAGAGAGAGAGAGAGAGAGAGAGAAAGAGAGAGAGAGAGAGAGAGAGAGAGGACGACAAGGGAAAGAATCTTATGACATAAGGGTAGAAAATTTATTTAGTTATTTTTCAAAAGTTTGTCTACAAAACTATTTAAAAAAAGACAACAAATCATCCATCCAAACTAACTGAACTTTTATTAACTTTAGGGAGCCATCAATCAGTCTCTAACTATACAAGACATACATCTAAGATAAAGTTATTCTAATCAACATTTGACATTTTCTGAAAGCGCCCTTTGATCGATATGAGTCTTTGTTCAGTAGCGTAAGTAACGAAGGAGATTGTGGGACTGATGTTACTTTACATTGGTTTTCATTGTGTACTTATATTCCATGCATAGTTTAGTTACTGTAAACTGCTACCTCCGGGATGTAGCATTAGAGGGAGAGAAAGAGAAAGAAAAAATGGAAGAGATAGAAAGAGAGAGAGAGAGAGGGAGAGAGAGAGAGAGAGAGGGGGGGGGGGGAGAGAGAGAGAGAGAGAGAGAGAGAGAGAGAGAGAGAGAGAGAGAGAGAGAGAGAGAGAGAGAGAGAGAGAGAGAGAGAGAGAGAGAGAGAGAGAGAGAGAGAAAAAATAGAAGAGAGAGAAAGATAAAGAGCAATAGAGAAAAAGAGAGAGAAGGAAAAAAAAAGAGAGAGAAAAAACAAGAGAGAAAAAGGGGAGCGGGGGTAGACAGACAGACAGATATCAAGAAGAAAAGAAATATGAAGATAGTACTCCTTAGAATTATAAAGATAAAACGAGTTGAGGGAACTAGAAAAAATCGGAAAAAGGAAGAGGATGGAGGCTTTTCATACTTTTCAAAGGGAGGATGTTCGGCTTTTGTGCAGAGGGGGGGAGGGGGGAGAAGGAGGGGGAAGAGGAGGAAAAGGAGATAGGAAGCAGAAGGCAGGTTAAGGAGGAGGAGGAGGAAGGGAGGGGGAAGGAGAGGAAGAGAAGGAAAATGAAGCAGATGGAAGGATAAGGAGGAGGAGGAGGAAGAGGAGGGGGAAGAAGAAGAGAAGGAAGTAGTGAGCAGAAGGATAAGATAAGAGAGGAGAATGAGGGGGGGAGGAATAGGAGACAAAGGAGGCAGGGAGCAGAAGGTTGGATAAGGAGCAGGAGGAGGAGGAGGAGGAGAAAAAAAGCAGAAGAGAAGAGAAGAAGGGAAGAGAGGAAGAAAAGGAGGCAGGCAGCAGAAGGCAGGATACGGAGGAGGAGGAGGAAAGGAGTGAGAAAGGAGGAAGACTAGAAGAAGGTAGAGAGCAGAGGGAAGTGAGGAGGGAGAAGAAAGGGGGGGAGGAGGAGGCGAAGGGAGTAGGGAGCAAAAGGCAAGGTAAGGAGAAGTGAGCAAAAGGAAGGATAAAGAGGGAAAGGAAAAGGAGATAGAGGAGAAGGTGGAGGAGGTGGGAGAGGAGGAGCAGACGAGTTGGTAAGGAGGAGGAGGAGGAGGAGAAGAAGGAGAAAGAAGATTAGGAGGAGGAGGAGAAGAGAATAAGAGCAGGAAGCAAGGGTAGGGGAAAAGGGGGGAAGAATGGTAAGGAAGGAGGAAGGGAGAGAGAGAATCGGGGAAGCAAGGAATAGGGAAAAGGAGGGAGATAGGATACACGAGAATAGTGGAGGGAGGAGAAGATGGGAGAAGGGGAAGATGAATTGGGGGGGGGGGGCAGGAAGGGAGGAGAGGGAAAAAGGAAGAGATGAGAGAGGCGGGAACCGGGGGGGGGGGGGCGTCGTCTGCCAGCTGATAAGGGGAAGAAGGAGGATGCAGATGGAGACGGAGGAGGAGGAGGAGGAGGAGGAGAAAGCAGCTGAAAAGGAAGAGGAGGAAGAAGAAGAAATAGAGGAAGAGGAGGAGGAGGTGGAAGTAAAGGAGAAGAGGATTAAGTGGAGGAGGAGGAGGGGGAGGAACAGGAGGAGGAGAATGTAGATGATGATGATAATAGTGATGATGAAGAGGAGGGAGATGGGGAGGAATGGAGGAGGAAGAGGATAAGAAGGAGGAGAAGAGAAGAGAGAGGAAGAGGAGGAGAAAGAGGAAATGAAAGGGGATATGATGGAGGAGAAAGAAGAGGAGGAGGAGGAAGACGAAGAGGATATAGGGAGGATAAGGAAGAGGAGGGGGAGGAGGAGGAGGAAGACAGAGAGCATAAGTAGAAGGAGAAAGAGGAGGAGGAAGACAGAGAGGATACGGATAAGGAGGAGGAGGAGGAGGAGGAGGAGGAAGGCAGAGAGGATAAGGAGGAGAAAGAGGAGGAGGAGGAGGAGGAGGAGGAAGGCAGAGAGGATAAGGAGGAGAAAGAGGAGGAGGAGGAGGAGGCGAGTAGAGACAAAGTGATCCTGTCTAGCGCATTGATCCAGGTTTATTACTCTCTTTGGTCTCGCGGTCTTAACACATCGATTCCCGGGGCTTCCGACACCTCATGGCGCTTCCCGGGATCCATGGGATTATCTCGTGGTGCGGGGTTCCTTCCGTAGGCCAACCCTGCCTGGTCTGCGTGACCTGCCTGGTCTGCGTGACCTGCCTGGCCTGTGTGACCTGCCTGGCCTGCGTGACCTGCCTGGTCTGCGTGACCTGCCTGGGCTGCGTGACCTGCCTGGGCTGCGTGACCTGCCTGGGCTGCGTGACCTGCCTGGCCTGTGTGACCTGCCTGGGCTGCGTGACCTGCCTGGGCTGCGTGACCTGCCTGGGCTGCGTGACCTGCCTGGTCTGCGTGACCTGCCTGGCCTGTGTGACCTGCCTGGCCTGCGTGACCTGCCTGGTCTGCGTGACCTGCCTGGTCTGCGTGACCTGCCTGGGCTGCGTGACCTGCCTGGGCTGCGTGACCTGCCTGGCCTGCGTGACCTGCCTGGGCTGCGTGACCTGCCTGGGCTGCGTGACCTGCCTGGGCTGCGTGACCTGCCTGGTCTGCGTGACCTGCCTGGCCTGTGTGACCTGCCTGGCCTGCGTGACCTGCCTGGTATGCGTGACCTGCCTGGTCTGCGTGACCTGCCTGGGCTGCTGCGTGACCTGCCTGGGCTGCGTGACCTGCCTGGGCTGCGTGACCTGCCTGGCGCTGTGTGACCTGCCTGGGCTGCGTGACCTGCCTGGCCTGCGTGACCTGCCTGGGCTGCGTGACCTGCCTGGGCTGCGTGACCTGCCTGGGCTGCGTGACCTGCCTGGGCTGGCTGACCTGCCTGTGACCTGTGCGTTGACCTGCCTGGGCTTGCGTGACCTGCCTGGGTGCGTGACCTGCCTGGGCTGCGTGACCTGCTGGTCTGCGTGACCTGCCTGGCCTGCGTGACCTGCTGGCCTGCGTGACCTGCTGGTCTGCGTGACCTGCTGGTCTGCGTGACCTGCCTGGGCTGCGTGGACCTGCCTGGGCTGCGTGGACCTGCCTGGGCTGCGTGACCTGCCTGGCCTGTGTGACCTGCCTGGGCTGCGTGACCTGCCTGGCCTGCGTGACCTGCCTGGGCTGCGTGACCTGCCTGGTCTGCGTGACCTGCCTGGTCTGCGTGACCTGCCTGGTCTGCGTGACCTGCCTGGCCTGCGTGACCTGCCTGGCCTGCGTGATCTGCCTGGCCTGCGTGACCTGCCTGGCCTGCGTGACCTGCCTGACCTGTGTGACCTGCCTGGCCTGCGTGATCTGCCTGGCCTGCGTGACCTGCCTGGTCTGCGTGACCTGCCTGACCTGTGTGACCTGCCTGACCTGCGTGACCTGCCTGGTATGCGTAGTGTCTGACCACGTTTCAATCCTCCATGTTCAAATTCTACCGGGTGGACATCTAGTCTGTTCTTTTCTGTCTGTCTGTCTGTCTGTTTATTTATCTGTCTGTTTGTTTGTTTGTTTGTTTATTTGTTTGTTTGTTTGTCTGTCTGTCTGTCTGTCTGTCTGTCTGTCTGTCTGTCTGTCTGTTTGTTTGTTTGTTTGTTTGTTTGTTTGTCTGTTTGTCTGTTTGTTTGTCTGTTTGTTTGTCTGTTTGTTTGTCTGTTTGTTTGTCTGTTTGTTTGTCTGTTTGTTTGTCTGTTTGTTTGACTGTTTGTTTGTCTGTTTGTTTGTCTGTTTGTTTGTCTGTTTGTTTGACTGTTTGTTTGTCTGTTTGTTTGTCTGTTTGTTTGTTTGTTTGTTTGTTTGTCTATATGTCTGTCTGCCTCTCTCTCTCTCTCTCTCTCTCTCTCTCTCTCTCTCTCTCTCTCTCTCTCTCTCTCTCTCTCTCTCTCTCTCTTATTCCTTCATTCCCTCACTCACTCACTCCTTCCCTCCTTCCCTTCCTCTCTCCCTCCCTCAATCACTTACTCACTTACTCTCTCGCTCCCTCCCTTCCCCTTTCCCTCCCTCTCTCTTCCGTACGCTCCGCTCCACTCCCTTTTACTCCCTCCCTTCCTCCCTTCCTCCCTTTTTTCTCCCCACCCTCTCTTCTTCACCCTTTTCCCTCCTCCCTCCTCTCCTTCTCTCCCTCCCTTCCTCGTCCCTTCCCATCCTCCTTCTCTCCCTCTCTTCTTTCCTTCCTTCCCTCCTTCTCTCCCTCCCTAATTCCTTCCCTCCCTCACTCCTTCCTTCCCTTCTTTCTTCTCTCCCTCCCTCCTTCCTTCCCTTTCTCCTTCTCTCCCTCCTTCTCTCCCTCCCTCCCTCCTTCCTTCCCTTCCTCCTTCTTTCCCTCCCCCCTTCCTTCCTTCCCTCCTTCTATCCCTCCCTCCTTCCTCCCCTTTCTCCTTCTCTCCCTCCCCCTTCCCTCCCTCCTACGTTCCCTCTCCCTCTCTCCTTTACTTCTCCTTCTCTTATTCCTATCATCCTGTCCTTCCTCTCCTCCTTCGATTATCATCCCCCATTATCCGTCTCTTTCTCAAGCTCCATTCGCGCAAGGATTGGCAGGATTTCTGAAGGATATCTGGACCCGGCATAGGATAATCTTGGGCCAGAGAAACCGATGGTCACCCGATGTCAGAGGAAGGGGAGGAGGAGGGGGG